TGACGTATGCTCACATACGAACGAGGTAATTAGTCCAACCCGAACAGGTGATCAACTCTAAACCACTCCTACCTTTTTACTCTCTGTCTCTTTGTCGTTTAAGCACACCCGTTGCCGTGGCAACCGCTTGCACCCCCGCAAGCCGAGCAAGGATTACATTAAAAACACAACATTCAGTCCGTTACAATATCAGGTTTCCAGGCTTGATATTTATTCCTCGATTATTAATAAGCCTCCCATGAACACAGCGTTTAAATTAGCGTTGAGTGGCTAATTTAAACTCCTGCTCTGCTCGTCAGTCGGTCTTTGAGTCGCCTTCTTTTTCTTTTTTGTTGATGGGACCGAAACGCACTGAATTGCGCAACACCTTGTTCAAACAATAATTACTGAGATTATTAATTTTAACACGTCTCGTTGATTTTTTTTATAATTATTCTTTTTTAATGACTCTACAAACGTTTAGGATCTTAGTAAATATTTTTGATAAGCCCGTCAGAAGAGGAAGTGCTGCTCTCAGCTTCCTGGTGGCGATCAGATTGTCACCTGCTGAGATCGACTCAGAACCTTTCCGATCGATCGGTCAATCGATCGACGTATTGGGCACCCCTGCATGAGCCGGTCAGCCGCTCACGCCTAAGCTAAGCTAGCTCAACTAACTCACTCGTTCTTTGGTTGCCTAGCAACAACCAGCTGAGCAACGTGCGCAGCAGCGGTTTAAAGTTTCTCCTCTGTGCCTTAAAAAATAAAAACCAACATGGAGTGAAGACTGGGCAAAACAGGAAACGTCACGCCACCAATGTGGCAACATTTCAGATATTTAAAACTAAAAAACTAATCAATAATTATCAATGTAGAATTATATGCAACTCTTATATTGTGATACATTTTTGAGCCTTACTGTCCAGATCAACTTCAGCTTCTATGTTTATTCCTGTCACAATAAGCAACTAATCAATTAATCACATGATGAATTTATATTGTTCATTTCCTTTAATATTTTGCTTACAGAGACTTCATAATCCATTTTTTGTAGGTTTTCGGTTGGAAATTTTCTTAGTTTTTGTCTTAATTGGTTTTGGTTGTCATGTTTTATTTTGGATATTTAAAATATCTTTCAGTTCCAGTGCTAAATGTTCTTTACTAAATTAAAGTTTATTAGTCTTTGGCACTACCAATATATTTCAAAATGATCTGAAAACAATAATATTATAGTTTATCGCAGTAAATACAGGGAGAATTTATTGTGCAGCAGTCTGTTAATATGACAGGCCTGTTAATGTTTGGTTTATGTCTCCATGAAAGCAGAATAAAGTCCTGTGTTTAGGTTTTAAAGCCGGATCGCTTGGCAGGAAGTTGGACCGGCGCCGCCGATGGAAAACTGTTTAAACTCAGAGTCGTCCCCACTGACCAGCAGGTCCTGTGTGTCTGAATCCGCCCACTTGTTTACATAATCCTGCATGAATAAACATGAGATGATTTATGAATAAACATGTCTGGGGATGTGAAAACACACACACACACACACTCTGCTGGGAAATCTCAGCACTTGATGAATATTCATGCAGCACTCGTTCTCACACTCCTCCGTTGTGTTTTACTCTCAGACATTCATCTCCTCCTTCACATCCGTCTCTTCAGCTCATCTCATTTCTTAGACTCTAGCTGGTTTTCTTCCAAACTTTAAATGTTGTTTCGATCGGATCCAGACTGAAACTGTTAAAACTTGCTGCTAATCCGGCCACCCTCCCCTTCCTGGGACTGCAGCGCCCTCTTGTGGCCGTTTCTATTATAACAAGCAAACGCGACGAAGTCCAATGCTCTATCTAATGTAGGGTACTCAAATATAATAAATAGTTTATAATAAAGAGTCAAAAAAGAAGCTAGAAGCGCTTATATTCAAGTTTCCTTTCACGCAAATCCAATACACGTACGGAAATAAAACATTTTAAATTATGGAAATTTATATACACAAGAAACTCATGCAAAATCTCATCTCTTCTATACACACACACACACGTGGTCGCGCTTAGTGATATATACATACATATATGGTCTCATACCTGAGCTCTCAGAGTCTCGGGTATGAAAAACTGGACAGCACCAGGACCTGACATGAAACTCACTGCCCTCCATGAGCGACTGGCAACTCAACTGAACCAGC